TAAAAACCCATTTCATCCCTCAAAAAGAATGGACAATAAGTCACAATGTTGTTCCCAAGAGCTCTCTGCATTCTTGGCTGTGTTTCTGTTGCAACATTGTTCATCCTTTGCCCTAGACATCCAGGAAAGCACTGTAATTCCCACTGCTACTTGCTGAATCAATCAGGCAAACTTCCTTATTTTTTTTCCGAATGATTAACTTGTATTGGTGGAACATCTCAGGAAATTGCCTTCTTCCTGTTTTAATAGATGAAGTAAGACCGTCCTGAGATCATTCCTTTCTCTGTCTTGGATATATTATTTTTTTATTTTTTTCCTCTATTTAATTTTTTAATCATTAAAGTCTTATTTTTGTATCTTTTTTTTTCTCTCTAGTTGACTATTCTTGAGTATACTGAATATATAGATAGACTTTTTCAAACTCTCGCGTTGCTCCATCCTTTTTTAACTTAAATTCTTTTTTCATAACTGAGGCAATAGCACAAAGCTTTTAATAAAAAAAAGGTCTTGTTCTGTTATTTGACATTGGGATTATGTGACAAAGAAATGGCTCAGTGATTTAGGAAGTCTCCCTTTTCAAGTTCACCATCAAAATGCTTAGATAATAAAGGAGTTGAGCATTCTTTGGAAAGGTCTGTAAAATGACTCCTTGAGAGTCATTATTGCTTGTACAGTACTTGCATGGAGTTTAGGAGCTTTAAAATTTGCTTGGCAAAAGTAAAGAACTACACGACTGCACAGTAAAAGTCCAAAATATGCCCACTGTTTAAATAGTGGCATCACAAGGACCTACATAATACTCATGAGAGCCATTCATTCTCTTGATACCTCCTGTACCTCTTCACTATCAGACTGCAAAGCTACAACACTTGTTTCTTATTTGGTAATCTGTCCTCTAATGAGTAGACCTTAAGGTATGTTCTACATTTTGCTGTAGCATGAGTTCTTAGTAGCTAAATGGTGTCGTACAGCCTGTAATACTGAATGATGCAATTCTGTGAAGGCACAATTCAGTTGCCAGCAACAGAAGTCTGAGTTCTGGCTGTATGTGGAAGAGAACAGATTCAGAGGAAAGCTAGAAAATCAGGACCATGCCCCTGAAGAGACCCATGTAACAAATAACAAAGAAGAAAATTACAAAAGGTTAAAAGCTGAATCATGAGATGACTTCCTTGTTTCTGAAAGAGGTCATTTGGGCCATATGAATAACTACTTGATTAAAATATTATTAATTATGAATATTAGGGACTTCTGTTTTATACTATTTTTGCATAATATTGGTCTACTCTTTTTATCTTATAATTTGTATGTCTTGGTTCTGATTTCTACATCTTTCTTTTTCTTGATTCATTTGGTCTTAGGGCCTATCTTATATTTTCTAATATGTAATGAAGTATCTGAAATTTCTAAAAACATTCTAGTCTTTTTCTTCAGCACTAGTTGCATTATTTAGCCCTTGAATATCAGTCACAGTGGTGACTTGCATGCAGACATTTGTGTTTTCGTAGCAGGTTAGCTGCTCACAGCAATGAGTGCTAGTGCATAAACTTTACTCCAGAAACAACTGTTTACATCTGGGACTGAAAATGTAGGCAATAGTAGTAAATTATTATTAATTTCTTCAAGAATATTTTTTCACATCTTCCAAATATTTCTTCAAAATAATAGGCTATTTTAGAGATGTGAGGACAAACAGTACCTTAAAATCAATGGATTTTAAGCTAACACCTGGGTTAGCTTTGTCTGCACAAAGGACAAGTTAGAAGTAACAGCATTTTGGGGAGCAAGAAAATCGCATAACTTCAACTCTTAAAATGTCATCATATGCTGGGGCTTTTCTTTATTCTTACTGTATGTCTTCTATAAACAAATGCCCTAAGGAGGAAACTGAGACGTCCATGTCCATCTTTCCATGAAGGGGGAGAAGAGGAATATAATGTTTCTTCCAGTTCAAGAAATACACTGTTATAGCCTCCTCTATCTCAGAGGCCTCTCTGGGGAATGCTGAACCAACTGTGTCTATCTGGTAGGCATTCCCTCCTTTCCTAAATGTGAAGATGGCAGACTCTGTCAAAACCTACTTAAAAACTCTATCCTCTCACCTCAGTATAACCTCTTCCAAGGTGATTTATTTTTTGTAAGTAGTACTAAATTGTCAAAGTGGATAAATTTAGAAGGCAGTTAAGCAAGTTTTAATTTCCTCTCTGAAAGTTAAGTCATTCTTTTATACCTGAATTGAGTTGATTAATTTATATTTTAAAGAGGGAAGGATGTTGTATTACTAAGTTTTAATTAGGTAGTATCTCACAGCTCTGATAACACAATATGTACAGTGCCTGTTCTGACTACATATGTGTAGGTGATTTAATTGCCACGTTTGTCCAGGCTGGATTCTTCTATTTTATTTCAGTGATACCTAGTTCTTTTTAATTTTGAATCAGTTTGATTTGTCATTAACTGAAGTGTAGCTTTTATGTTCAGTGTTTAATTGAACATAATTTAATGTTAATGTTTAATGAACAATGTTAATTTGAGAATAATAACATTTTATTCATCTTTAAAGATGCTTTTATTAACCATGCTGTTTTAAAATATGCTTTTCTGTATGTCCTTGCATGAAGATTCAACTGGATATTCTTTATTTAGAGGCAGTAAATTTCAGTTTTCTGTGCAGCAGCAGTGATTTGGACTGGTTGGTCTCTATGTGTCTATATCTGTGGCTGAAATTTCGGCCAGTCACCACATTTTCAGAAAAAGGCCATAGCAAATTTAACTTCTATGACTCTTTGAAAATTCAGTCAGAATACTTATAAACTACAGTATTAGACCATTGTCACAAGATTCCAGATACTTTATATAATATCCAGAAATGCTTGAAAAAAAATCAAACATAAGCAGATATTGGATAGATAGACATATCTATCTGACAATTGTAAATGTGTATTTTTCTATTTACCTCACGGAATGTTGTTATAGCTATACATCTAATTTCTTTGTGTAACTGTTTCCATTGGATATGTAAATACAGCAACTGTAGGCACAAATTACCATAATTGGCTATTTTAAGTGCAATTATCTGATTTTCATACTTAATTGTGGTAATTGTACACAAGATTAGACTGCAATTGCCTGTTCATCTATGCAGTTCTGTCCATGAAATATTGAAAATCTAAAAATAAATTCTAATAAACTATGCTTGTGATTTGTGGGTATACCACTGTACATAAAAAAAAATTGCTTTGCCCAGTGCTGTGTAAAGGGTATGTTAGAAGTCACTAGAGCACAAAAAGCATAACACAGGTAGTTGATAGATCACCGTAGACATGGTGGTCTGAGTAATGCACAATGATTCCAATACTTGCTAATCATCAAGCCCTCAAGCCAATGGAAACTGCTCCACTTTCAACCTGGCTCTTCTACGGCTTCTGTCTGGCAGTTCAGCAGGAAACCCATTCCAGTCTCTGGGATCTTGCCTGGTGTTGCAGACACCTGAAGAGTTTATCTGCAACATTTATTTATCTGAATGTATTGATCTGTCTCTTCTGTCTCCCAGGTTCATCTGAGTCATTTTAAATTACAAGATGAGATGAAAATGATAGCAATGTTGTTAAAACCACAAACATTGTGGTTAAAACCACAAACGTAGAATTAGAAACACTGATACCAAAAAGAAAAAAAAAGTTCTTCCCCTTTCCACCTTTCTAGATATTATGTGCAACATGGATTTTCTTATCCTGGCTATCTTTTGAGTGAGAGGCCACAGCCTTATTTCTCTGATTTTTTCACCCCTTCTGTCTTTCAAAAGACAAATGTTTCTATTTTCAGTTCTCTGTCCCCAAAACTTTATTTAGTTGTTTCCTTGAGATACAACCTATGGATTCAGATTTATCTCTTCTCCTTTTTTTGGAATTATAGTTCCACCCTTCTCTAGTATCTTTTCTGGACATATATTAATTTTCTATTTCTTTATATGACACATTAGCTTATTGGCTTTCTACTTTTACAGCATTTTCAAAACTGTCACAACATTTTATAAATCATATATCAGAAGAGGTATTCAGTGTAGGTACTTTTAAAATTTATGGTGTCTAGCCCATTTTAAGGCTTCATAGAGACTATGTAAGATATATTAGTAATATAGATGGCATATAGAATTCAGAGCGCTCTATAAATTATTTCCTTCTTCTCTGCCTGAAGTTATTTGTCTGTTGGGATTTCAAATATACAGGCAGAACTGGAAGAAAACAATTAAGATACTGCTTATTCTCAATATTTATTATTAAGATTATTAAGAAGTGTTTGTGGAAAGATTTGAGGGGCATTGCTTTATAAAGCAAAAACTTATTCATTCTACAGCATACAAATATTCATAAGCCTTAAAACACACACATACATCGCCCTGGAGCCCTGAGAAGACCAGCTTTTTACGTGATATGCTTAGTCTTTCTAATATCTACAGGTGATATTTTGTCTTCTTCCAATCTGTGATTGTTGTCTTGATAGTAACTTTCATAGTGATATATGAAACTAGTCTTGTGCCTGATACATTTTCATTACACAGTTTTTCTCTGTAATCTCACTACTGTAATAACAAACTGCTATGGTTTAAAATCAGTTAAACTGAAAAGAGAGACTTAAGTGTAAGAGTATTTGTAAGAGAAGGATTCAACTATGATTTCAGGAACAGTTGAATCAAGGAGAGTTACAGATTTCAGCATATCATGAACAACAAGGTTTTTTGGGGCATGTTTTTAGAAATAGATTGGGAACAATGTGGACACATAGAGACCTGATCTGCTTGAGAACCACAAAGCTGAAGTATTAATGTATTATTAGTAAATTTTTAGTGGTGTCATTCTGAAGCATTTAACATACATTACCATACATTATATTGCAAAACCTCTTTGTGTAATAATCTCATGAAGGCAATTTATAGAAGCCAAGCAGTTCTATTGTGTGATTAAACATGATTTTCTGAAGCTTTTGTTTTGTTTTAACAGAATAATGAAAATGAAACAGCACTGCACTGTGCAGCTCAATATGGTCATTCAGAAGTAGTTGCTGTTCTGTTAGAAGAGCTAACAGATCCTACAATAAGGAACAACAAACTAGAAACACCTCTGGATCTGGCAGCACTTTATGGACGTCTGCGTGTTGTAAAAATGATCATCAAAGCATATCCAAACCTGATGAACTGTAATACAAGAAAACACACTCCTTTGCATCTTGCTGCACGTAATGGCCACAAAGCTGTTGTACAGGTGCTTCTGGAGGCTGGAATGGATGTCAGCTGCCAAGTTAGTGTGTAATTTCTATCTTCCCATCTTCCTTTCCTCCTTTCTTTCTTTGCTTTCCTTTATCATTATAATATAATTCAAATGAAATAACTTCTTACATTTGTTTTTTTAAAATACACTTGCGTTTACTTTGTTAAAAATGCTGCAAGGTGATATATAACACAGATTTATTGTTTACTACCTAAGTGATGTGTTCAAAGGGATAAATTGAGAAATGCACATCTTCAAAGCTGAGTGTATGTTTTAATGTTGTCTTGAGACATGTAGATACACAAATCATATTGACCTTTTGTGTAGGTGTGTGTATATATATATATTTTTTTTTTTTTTTTTTTACAACGTTGGCTTTAATGATACTAAGCTGACTTAATGCCCTTAATGGTCATAGCAACCTGAAACAATGTTTAATTGAGAACTCATTTTTTCCGGGGTTATCCCATTCTAAACCCAAAGTTACTAAGTAATAATAATTTTGATTTTCTGCTTTTCTAAACACTTCTTGTATAAACCTAAAAGAAAATTCTATGGCAATACACTCTTGCAGCTACTGACTCCAACCCGATAGCTGTTTGGTACACCTAGTTCTATGTACAGTAAGTTATAAGGTGAAAAAGGGGTAACTTGAAATAAAAGAGACGTAGATAAGAACGGATAAAAGGTACAGCAGCAGTAAATTTTATGTCCAGTTCTCTGTACTGGAAAGTGTCCAAGCCTATTAACTACAGAGGACCTGATTCTGTTACGTGTGAAGTCTTGCCTCAGTCTTATGATTTATCTTGATTTGATTGATGGCACTGTATTAGAGTTTAAAGTGTATTTTTTCTTCAGATTTAAAGTAGCCTTCTTGCTGTCTGGGTATATATAATATGCTTTGAATTAAGGTTGTTTCAGCTTTATAACTATTTTCAGACAAACAAACCAAACAAACATAATTACATCTATTTTCGAGTCACATCCAGGCATTCTTTACCAATAGGTGACTTATTAAATCTTGTGAACTTTGCCTAAACTTTGACTAAGTTTTATAACCATTTTAAGCTTTAGGTGCATTTAATCAAACACCTTTATACACATAATTCCCTTTTATATAAGAAATTGCACCTGGATTCCAGACACTTTTGTTATTTCTGAATTCTTCCATCAACGTCACGTTTTTCAACTTTTGAGGAAAAGAATGTGAAGTGGGAAAGAAAAAAATTAAAAAACCCGCAACAAAGCAGACAGAAAATATTGACATCTTTTAAGATTAAAAATGCATATTCTCTAATGCCTTCAAAGTGAAAATGTGGTAAAATTATTTTGCTGCTTTTATTAGCTATAGTATCTTTTGAGTTAGCATTATTACTTGCTTCAGACTGTTTCACACCGAAACACTTTTTTTTCTGTGATTTGCACACTTTGTATTTGCCTACCATTATGCTTCTGATTTAATTTGATTCTGATTTTCTTTACTAGCAAATGATACACTTATAAAGGTTAATACAAGCAGCTCTTTTGTTTCAGCTGTCCTTTACTATTACTACATCTTCAGTAATTTAGAAGAGTTTAATGCTAAAGCAACACATAATGGAACCCTTGAATACATGTTTCTGAATGGATAATTTATCTTCTATCTCTAGCAAATGAATGAGGAAGAAGTCAGAAAGAGTCTGATGCCTGAATTGTTGCTTAAGAAATAGATTAATTGAAGAATAGTCTCTGTCGTGACAACTTACAAACTGATGGTTACATGAGGATTGAATATTACACAATGCTTTTATGAAATGTGTTCTTCCTCTTATGTAATCTAGATAATTTTAGCACTACTGTGAATTCTCCTAAGCCATTTCTATCTATAGTTATACCAAAAGTTTTTTGCTGGTCTTTAAAAAATACAGTTGCTGCAAATTTTTTGCAATCTTCTTTTAAGAAATGGGAGATTCTTTTAGTAATGATCATCTGTTTGACATCTACACTAAAATTCTAAGACTTTATTTTTTAAAATTCTAATTTGTTTTAAATAATTTATATTCTTATTTTTCTTAATTATTCTTCGGCAGGGGGATATTTTTATTTTACTTTATTTTATCTTATCTTATTTTTTGCGCTGGGTAATCTTGTTTCTTCTGCGTTTGTCCTACTTGCCATAAGGAAATATCATTTATTTATTTTCTCACCGGTATACATATTGTCCATCAATATGTTTCTTTTCATTCAGCATCTTAGCATATTGGCAAGTTGGCTCTGTACATATTGTTAACTTATTACTTCTATAACCTCTGAAAAATTCTTTGTTGATGATTACTGGCAGCTTATTAAACTGAGCAGAGCATACAATATCAGCCTGTTACTTTAAACTGAACTCAGCTCTTTTAATATTAATTAAATTGCTCTGCATCACTGATTGGGAAAGAACAATACACAAAGTATAATCCCATGTGGTAGAGAAAATTGTACACATTCATACACATTAAATAAATTCAGCTTATCAGCAGAAAAGAGCTCTCAGAATGTTGAGAGACAATTATAGAAGTAGCCTATCTGCTATCACTCTGTAATTGTAAATATTTATTTGTTTAAATGGGAAGTTTACTTTAGCCATGTTATCTTTCTCTTCTGTACTCCCTGAGCACTTTTAATCATAGCAAATATTTGGACAGCATTTAATTTTTGATTGAATTAATCACACATTTTATTCATTTCCCAGGTCTATCCAATATCCTTCAATCTGAAATTATTTAGAAGTGAGCAATACAAATCTGCTTCATCTCTTTATGCTTTGAAGTTTTCATTTAAATTGAAACATATGAAAAATACACAGGTTTTGGGTGAGTGATAGATTTCGGGCCCTCAGTAAAATAAGATACTGCACAGTTCAGTGTGTTTCATGTAAACAGTAATTTGATAATTGTAAATACCTCAAAAACTTGGCCCCTTCTGCTTATCCAACTTTCATCTATCCCTATTTGCCTTCCCTGTCTGTTCCAGTAATGATGGCGATTTCCATTGATTATTACTGTAGTTCTGCAAAGAGCTATGCCCCTTCCTTTTTGCTGTCACTATGTATGGAGGATATTCTGTGAATCAATTTGCAAAGCTACCATTCCATTGGGCAGATTATATCTGAAATCCATATCAAAACTATAGTAAACTGCCTACAAACAAGGACAAGTGACCTAATTACAAGCTCTTGAATATTTACATGGTTAAAAAATCTATAATTAATAAAACCCTTGATGATTTTTGTGAGCCTGCAAATTGTACGCCAAGTTGATTTTTGTATCCTGGTGTTCCTACTGACAATGTCCTTCTATCCTTGTTTGCTTTGTGTGTCCAGCTGTGACATTGTACCTCTATTTAGGTGTAAGGTACTTGAGGCAGGGACTATTTTATTATATGCTTAGTGCAATTTGTGCTATAGTTCTGTATATTTCATATATAGAAAACTTATTGCAGAGAATCAATATATAATCTGTTGATCCAAACTCAAGCAGACTTTAGCACGCTGTGTTCATGAAAAAATACCAGGATTTTTTGCATTAGGTATCACTGTGGAAGAATTTCCAAATATAATGGTAGTGTTCACTTCTCCAGGGAAGTAGGATCCGAGGCAATGAAAGCTTCAGGAGGTAAAGTGGTAAATACTGTCTATAAATCTTAAGTTTGCTTGCTGTAGTATAGAAAATTAGTGTATTAGCACATAGATACACTACTATGAGTGAAAAAGTTCTACATAAAACCTCTAGCACATCTTAAATAATATATAGAAATTATTTGCAACTACATTTTTTAGTTCTTCTGATTTGTGTAACATGCTCTATTGCACCAGAAAAAAAAAAATACAGCATTATTTCTATCTTCAAGTAGTAGACCACATGTACATTTACAAAGAGATATATATCTACGCAGCCAGTCCTCGGAGTTTCTCTTGACCCTGTTCATCCTGACGCTCAAGATTTTCCCTATGCTAAAATGAAGTTTGTTAACTGAACTCTCTCTAACGAGGACAATTCTGCCTTCTGGACAATTTTTGGGTCAAGGGATCTGATTCGCTCATTAGTTATTCACTACTACCATGAAATCCTGCCTAGGGCTTTTAAGATTTACGTCAGCATTCATCTTTGTGACATCTCATGCAGGATTGCACGTCTGAATTTTACAAGTGTGCTTTCAATCTTCCATATTCACAGACTGATTTTAGTTCAGTTTCATGGTAATATTTACCCTCTTGCTCAGAAAATCACCTATATAGTGGTCAGATTATTCCACTGTTTATATGGTATGCCTTTCAATTTCCTCTTTTGAACAGACTGATTGTAATATATATCTCATTTCTGGGATATGGCATTCATTAGCATTGTCTGATAGCTTGGAGTTTTAAAGCAGAACGCCCCAGAATTGAGGGCAGTGAAGACTGCCTGTAAAGCACTTCAAGGTCATCTTCAGATATGACAGGAAATATCATGGTAGAACAGACCAAGAAGCGAGAAAGTATAAAATGAAAAATCTGGCATTTAGCTTTGGATTCCTCTCCCAACACTGTGAATGATGTATATGGGTGACTTAAGTTTTTCTACTCCCTTTATACATAGCAGAGCTTTTGTTCATTGTTACAGAACTATCTTCTGGCTCTCAAGTTGCTCCTAGGTACATCTGTATACCCTAGATATCTACAGAAAATTTCATCTTCCCATGTTAGTTTTCATTCCATTTCTTATGAGATATACGCTTTCATCAAGAAAAATATTACTTGCTTTTCCTCCAGTGGGGAATTTTGATCAATAGAAACTGACTTCTGCCAGTTCTGACAACTAACATATCAGGATCTTTTCCACCCCTTAACTGAGAAGTCTGAGGATAGATCCTCTTCCTTGTCCTCAAGGCTGTTGATTCAGCATGCTAAAACTTTTTCAGTGTCAGATCACACCACAGCAGCAGATTCTAAATAACCGTTGCCACTAAAGTATGTCCTTTTTTCCATTAACAAAAAATACTAATTTTAATACAGAATTATCTCTATACAGAATTATCTTTCTAATTTTTTTATTTAAAAAAATCTTTTATACAGAATTATCTCTACAGTTTTAGTCAATGTGTAGCTAGTTCCCATCTCTGCAGTTCATCCTCAGTAAGACTAAAATTTAGTGCTCAGGCCTCCTATAACGTTTAAACCTCTGTGGGTTTCATTGTTGGTGTATACATCACTAATTATTACCCCATGGAGAATCACAGAATGGTTGAGGTTGGAAGGGAACTCTGCAGGTCATCCGGCCCAACCCCCCTGTTCAAGCAGGCTCACCTAGAACAGGTTGCCCTGGACCGTGTCCAGACAGCTTTCAAATATCTGCAAGGATTGAGACTCTACAACCTTCCTGGTCAACCTGTACCAGGAATCAGTCACCTGCACAGAAAAAAATGCTTCCTTATGTGTTTCAAGTTTTCGCCAATACCTCTTCTGTCACTGGACACCACCAAGCCTGGATTGGTCTTCTTTACACCCTCCCTTTAGATATTTGTACACATTGATGAGATTCCCTGTGAGCGTTCTCTTGTCTAAGCTAAACAGACCTAGCTCTCTCAGCCTTTCCTCATAGGAGAGATGCCCCAGTATTTTAATCATCTTAGTGTCTCTCTCCAGTAGCTCTGTATCTATCTTGTACTGGGGAGCCCAGAACTGGATGGAGTACTCCAGGTGTGGCCTCACCATTGGTGAATAGAAGGGAAAGTCACCTCCCTTGGCCTGCTGGCAACACTCCTCCTAGGGTAGCCCAGGATACTGTTAGCTTTTTTGCCGCAAGGACACATCGCTGGCGCGTGTTCAGATATGACAGAATATGTTCAACATTAGTGAATATATTCAAATACAAGAGAGACATTACTCTTTTCTTGAAACAGTGAGTAATGAGTTGTAATTAAGCCCCTATTTTGGTGTTCTTCTCTGGCAGGTTACCATGCCAAACTTCTCCCCATTGTGGCTTTTGAATTTCACCACGTGTCTTTCTCAAGTCAAATATTTTGGGAGTCAAAGCTGTACTTCACATCCTTGATCATGGGAACTCTATGTTAATAGTACCAGGTCAACCCAATAGTCTCGAGGTTTATTCATGTCAGTAAGTGATGAGTCCAAAGGAAATGCCATATCCACGCAAATACCAACGAGGATAATAGGCTGCCTCAAAGCCTTTTCCAAGTTTGCTAGTGTCAAGCCTTTTTCAGTAACGAGACCTATAGTTATCAGTGACTTTTCCAAGAGTTGTTCCTTAAGCTCTTCGTGTACCTTTGTGGTTGCACTGTGTCATTGCAGAGTTATCCAGTGTTAAAGTCAATTGCAGTTACTGGAAAACTCCTGTAGATATTGAGTAAAGGATTCTGAAACCAGCTCTAAGTAAATCTGAATGTTTAGTCTTCTTGTTCAGAATAAGCCTGTGACTGTTCATCTGGATTGCTTCTGAAAATGGAAAGATTAGAAATTGTTGTAAAATATGTATTTCATATATATATATTCTCTCACTGACTTCCTTCTCCTTTCTGTTATACTGTTAGTATACCTGATGTGCTGGATGTACATGACATTGAGCATGCTTTACTTTATGCGTCCATGTACTAAATATGAAGAAAGATAAAAAGTGAGTGTTCCTATTATGGACATAACAAAGACTTTTCAGGCTCAATTGGTAAGACATACGTACACTTACTGTGTGCTCCCATCCCATCTCAGGATCTCTGATTACTTCTAATTAACCTGTCATTGCATTGCTGTAACAGTGGTGCATTCTGATACAGCTAGTAAATAATGAAACACTATTTTATTTCAGAGTTAATTTTTTTGTGTGTCTCTAGTCTTTCCATGATAGCAAGCATGATAATGGTGCTTTTGGATATAATATACGAAAAATCGAATTCAAGCAGTAAAACCTTTAACATTTGCCCACAAATAAAAAACACGCAAAATCTAATTTACTATCAAAAAAAAAGATGAGCCAGAGGTTCAGTGAGATCTAGTAGTGCTTTAGCTAGTGCTAATGCTATTGTATGGAAGAGCATTCTGTTCAGATTTTTCAGGAACAGGCAGCAATATAAAATAGAAAGAAAAGTAGCTTGTTAAGAGAGGTAGTTTGTTTTTCAGTACTGTAAATTTTATATGAGCAAAAGTCCATTCACAAATAATTTTGTGTCACAGAAATCTGCAAAATCAGGTTCACAGACATCTAATGCTGTTGGAGGTGCTATAGGGTATCCAAGATATCTGTATGGGGAAGATGTGATGCAGATCAAATGTGAGCATCAACTAGAACATCAGCTGGATGCCAGGTGGGATATCCTAGGGATATCTCTCACCATGCAACTGAATTGACCTTCTAGGGTGTGATCGAGTTTCAGATTAAAACACCTAAGTGTAGATGTCCACATGTAAACTGTCTGACTCTGCCGAACAGCTATATACAGTGATGGTATTGGCTAGATTTTCACTGCCTATAGTAGGAGTTCAGAAATTTTACACAAATGCAGGCTTGTTAACTAGGAGTTGTATTACATCGCTACTGTATTTTCTTATATAGTTATTAATTTTTAAAGTAGAACTGACAGCATTCATGTTGGTATCTTGAATAATTAAAAAAATAAATGATGGTAGTATTTGTTCTTGTCCATTCAATGTTTTTTACATGCAGATAAAATAGAGGGTAAAAATAAATACTTCTTTACTAAATGTATTCTTTTCAAAAGGATTAACTGGTATTTTAATTTGTATTTTAAAGGTCACAATATTTTTTTTTTCTAGACAGAAAAAGGGAGTGCACTACATGAAGCAGCCCTGTTTGGAAAGGTGGAGGTAGTACGCATTTTGCTTGAAACAGGTAAATCTGATTTACAGAAAACATTGAACAAATATTCTTAATATTCCTAATCTGGTGTATGCCACCTCCTGTTTTCATTATACAAATTACTGTTATCTTCCTCAGCCTTTGCAAATCTAATCACATGTACCTCTCCTTAAAAGTGTTCTTTTAGAGTAAGAAATTACTATAGTCAGAGAACAAAAGGAATGTTTTCACTAAGACTCAGAAATTCCATATCTGACTCAGTGCATGCCACTGTATTCAGAGAATAAATGTATTCTAAGAACAAAATGGGTAAATAAAATTTTGTTATTCCCTCTGAAAGACATCCAAGAATATTCTTTGATTTAGAGGTCAGAAGACTCATGTTCACATTTATTTCCTCCACTTAGCTATTCCTAAGAAACATACCATCCTGCTTGCTCCTTCATTTCCTGGATAAACTTTGAGTGCCTGTGAAGAAAGGGGAAGGCACTGTGTCTCCAAGAATTGCATTTGTCCTGAAAGGTCAGGAGAACAGGGATACAGGGTCCCAACAAACCCATCTACTACATAATAAGATTTTCAGAATTGTTGCAGGTAAATTACTCATCTAAACAACTGTCTTCTCAGATAAATGAGAAGACCAATGAAAATATCTAGAAATTACTTCTCTGGAATACATGAACTTCCATTGCACTGAGAGATCTCATTGATGTTTATTATCCGTGCTTGTGGGGTTATATATTGCAAAAGAAGGTATGTCCTACTCACTGCTCCTCATCTGAATCTCAGCTACCACATACCTGATATGAGATCTATTTTCAGAAATAAAAGTCCTTCCAAGACACTTTCCTGTTTGGATGAATAAGAAGGAGGCAGAAAGGGGTCTTCACCTGCCCTCAAAAAGGCAGGGCCTTTTTATACTAGTTCACCTTAAAGAGGAAGGATGGGAGAACATCACACAAACATAGAAAGCCCTTAGACCACAGATAAAGAATACCTCTTATAGATTAGTACACATTATAGCCTCTGCCAGAGTACAATTGTACAAGACACTGGATTAGAATCTTCGCTGTAAACTCCTTCAAACCCAAATGCTCTGCACTTCTGCCTTTTTTATCTAACAAACCCCTTTTCTCTAGTTCTGCTTCAAAAAAGACTCAGAAGATGTTATAAGTAGCTATTGCAAAGGAAAGGTGTAAGTTGGTGTGTCTAGCCTCTGAAAATCAGCTGCCACTGATAATTAGTCCAGCAATATTTTGGCTTTATTTTCAGTGAGAAAACAAATATCTCTTTCTCACAAAACAAATTAGGAAATTCCATCAGGTCAGGAAATTACAAGAACTGCCTTCCATGCTTCCCGAATGTCCTTATAAATCCTGCTTCCTCTGATTCCCTCTATTCAGCATCCCAAGAAGAATCTCATTCTGTTTGTTCGGACCTTTCATACCTTTACTTTTTATGAAAGTACATCTAAACTAAAAAAAAAAATTCAGTCTTCTACCATAAGGCAAACATTTCCAAAGTAGACCTTACAATACAAAGGTGGAGAGTCATGCAGTATCATGTACAACAGGTTCTCTGAGACCTATCGGTTAAGGATAAACCTCAAATTTATTTATGGTTATGTTCACAGTTTGAGCCAATTACTTTGTCAACAGTCTGAACAGGCTGTGAGAAAATGCTCTGGCTGTTCACAGAGCCCTTATACTACATATGAGTGTTTCAGTCTACTGAGTGCATGAATTTTGAACATGTTGCCATGAAGTACAGAACTTTTAAGGTTAATAACTTTTTCAGTATTGTTCACAAAACACGTACTTGTACTATGGATAGAAAATCCTCAATGAATCAGAGCACTTTGGGGAGAATTAGAATCCAGGAATGTAGGAAAAATATTCAGAGAATTTCTTGATTTTATAAAACATTATTTTCCAGATGGCTGTTTCTTAGGAACAGTCTGTTAAAATAATCCCAAATTTGGTTTAAGAAGCTTACTTTCTATCCCTATGAGTTACAGAGACATAAAAACAATCCATGTCAGCATGTGAATTTTAGGCTACTCAAGCTTTAAACAGAAATGGATGCTGTACTTCAACTATAACACAGCTGTTAATCTGCTACAGTTATAAAACTGCTTGCATTCAATTTGCCAGATTATTGAGTCTGATATACCTCATTTATAAACCAAAGCACTTGGGGTTAAAAATTCCACCACAGATCATTTTCTTTTTCAGGAATTGATACCAACATAAAGGACAGTTTGGGTAGAACAGTTTTAGATATTCTTAAAGAACACCCATCTCAGCAGTCACTCCAAATTGCAGCTCTACTTCAAGGTAAGTCACATTCAGTTATATATTTGTTAGAGACAAATCAGAATAACATGGAGGAATATTAAGATGTATAGTAATTTCTACTCTTTAAATATTTCATGATACAGAGGAGTAGTCATTTGAATTAAAAAGAATTCTTGTTTGCTAGATACATCAAAATAAGTGGTTGTATATCTGAATTTCAGAGTAAACCCTTTCTTATTGTCAGAAAATAGACATAGCACAGTTACTGTTTGTGCATTCTTCATGACAGAAACACATGTTGTCATATTTCACTGCAGTTCCATTAATTTGTTATGGTAAACTGCAACTGAAATGCTTGATTTGTTCATAAATAGCAACTATGACTGAAAGATGATGACAAATTTTCAAATCATTTCATTACATTTTTCTCATTTTCCATGAATTTAATAAAATAAAACCCAAAACAAACAAAAAACCAAATAGGCAGTAACTCTTGTCATTATAGCAGAGATATAATTTTGTACATGTTTGTTCTCATTCCTCATTTTACTTTCATGGTATAAGACTGATGGAATTCCATTGTTTACTTCAATCATTTACTCTAGAAGATGGCTGTAAAGTGATAAAACATGAGCTAGTACATAAGCATTAAACATGATTCCTTCTTTTCTATGGAATTTGTTCTCTGCATTTTCAGATTAGTCTTTCATTAACTGTGTTTGACAGAGCAGTTCCCTGCAGGTATCAGTGCTGCATCTCCAACTGTATTGATTATTCCCATCTTTAAATAAGCCATTTTAATCGGTTCTGTGTTGGTTCTACATACGAACTAACTCATGCTTCAGTCTCCCGCATAACTGTATTTCATAAGAACATTTCCTAGAGAAAATGAGGTCATGTGGCCATACTGTGTCCTTCAGGTTTACTTTTCTGAATAACTTCTGAACTTGCTAGCCAGCTTCAGTAAAGTTTTCCAGCGAGATGGTAGAACGAAGATACAAACCTCCTATAATGAAAATTTTGCAGTCTCGAGGAGAGGTATTTTGGTAAGGAGCAGATTCAAATTATAGCTGAAGTTCGCCTTGAGGCCTTCCTCTCTCCCTCCTTCTTATTTTCTTTTTTTCCTTTCCCGCATTTCTCCCCCTTCCGCCTCCTCTACTTCCAGCTACACAATTCCTTTCTATATTCCCTGCTTACAGGAGATTTTAAAGTGATTTGATGCAGTTCATGAACGAGTAAAATATAAAATATATAATTGATTACATCACCTATATTTAGTAGTATGTAATAATAATAAAGATAAGATTATAATGATATAAATATACATTTGCTTGCTTTAATGAACTTGCCTCCTTTGTGATTCAGGTCTCAGAGTAAGCTCTGTCCCAAGTAACTGGCAGAAATATGCACCAAAATGTGGGAAGAAAGATATGGTTGAGGGAAGTAGGATTTCCCCATCAACAGAATTGAGTTCCTAATTTGACTCAGATGTATGGTGAAACTTCATCCTTTAAATCCTCACTGAGCTGCAGCGTGCACATACCACCATGTAGAAGAAAAAAGGGTTAATATACTGAAACTTCTTCAATGTCAGGAAAAGGGCCAATCAAAGCTTCCACTTTCTTAGACATGCAAACCAATCATCCTTCAGACACTAATCTAAGATTTATTAAAATGTCCCATCACCAACTAAACCACTTTTCATTTTAGTATCTCTGTATTGTTCCATTTTCTCCTTAGTGTGATAACCTTACACTCTCAACCATACTGATTAACAAAGCTTTTTCAAAGTAAACTTTCTCTGTGAAAAATAGAGCACCCAAACCCCTCTCAAGGGTTTGTCATGTTGATGGATCAGTTTTTACCTTAGTTTTTACCACAGAAATGTATCAGTTTCAAGGCTTTTTGGTGCTTTGGCATGCAATCTTTTTCACATGTCTGCCTTGAAAATATGAAGACTGTTTAGTAGTTTCAGCTCCTATTAGTCTGACAAAACTGTGCTTGTAACGAGCAGCTGTTTATTTTTGCTCTGACTGCCTTATAGTCAGAAGTGATGTGCAAGGATGAAAAATGTTTGCAAAGATGCAATTCTGAATCTTAAGAAAACCTCAGGAGCCCCATCAGAACTCCCTGGTGGAACCCGCTAAGATATCAGCAGAGGGTTCACTGAAGCTTTAGCCATCAAAGATAAATTTTGAACTGTGAGCTGAAGTTGAAAAATAAAATCAGGAGTGGCAGGATTCAGTACTAGCACTGTTGATGATACAGTAGACCTAACCTCCTCTAAAAATCTAGCTGAGTATAATCTTCACTGAAGTGTGGGTATTTATCCTGTTGTAGCTGAAAAATCAGGGAAGCACTGGGATTTTGGGAAACCTGAATGTACTGTAATTGAGTTTGGCTTCAGCGTTAAATTAATTCCATGCAAAGAAAGGGCAATTGCTGAGAGTTAGTGGCTTTCAAATACATTCCTGTTAAAGGTTCTGGCTTCAGATGATTGTCTAGAGATGCTTACATGTCTTCTTCATGTATATATATGGGGAAAAAAAATTCAATTAATGGCATCAGACATACACTAACTAGATTTTTGTAAGTTTCTTCCTTTTTTTTTTCTTTATGCAGACACAATGGCATTGAATTCATTCTTTCACCTTGTTGCCAGCATAGAATAAGATTTTATTGCCTAGCATTCTCATTAATTTTTATCATTTCTCTCTTGCATTGTTACGAGTGTTACTGTACAGTTTATAACATTAACATAGCATAATATTTGTCCCTGACACAAGATGTTAGTTTTCAAAATATAAAACAAAGGCTGAAAGATGCATATAAACAGATTGGCAGAAACAGACAAGAAAATAATGTGACTGGTATTACTGGTGGGCCTGATAGGGTGTTCTGTCCTATATGCAGAGGGGTAACAGAGTCGTAAGAAAAGTTTTGTAAGAAAATTATTTGATTTTGAGGATATTTGTGAGAAACTTGTTTGAAGGAGAAGAAAGTAATTTATGTCTTTAGAAGCAGTCAGTGGAGGCAGTAATACTAAATCTGTTCAGCTGATACTAAGACCTACAGGACTGGTAGCCTCCTGTGAATGAGGCCTCCAGAATTTAAGAATTGTGGATAGAAGTTTCTGTTGGTGTTCTCTCTTTTTTAAAGAATATTTATAAAACTACTTTTTACTGATTATAGGTTAAAACGAAGCAAAACCTTTGCCAGTGAGGTGTTAGAAGTGATCATAGTGTTTTTATGTTCTTTACTTTATATCTTTTCTCACTATCCTGAGGAGATAGGAACTGAAGTTTTTGCAAAAAGTATTTTTTTGTGTGTTTGCAAAGTCTACTGTCTTTTTGGAGATTTTGGTGCATTATCTGATAGAAGGAAAATAAATAACAAAATCGCTTTAAAGAGCAATGTAAAAAAGGCTGAGCTATACACCACCTGAATGTTTTTTCTAATGCCTGTTAATTATAGATGGAATTATTAGAAATGACAGTTCAAGTTTTCATTCTTTTTCTTTCATGTAAGTCCCATCATTTTATGTGTCTTGCTCAGGTCTGAGCTGCATCGAACTCAATTAAAAATACTTATTACAGTCTAGATTCTTTATGTAGTAATGAAGAAATGGCTGTTTAGGCATTATGTACTTGAGCAGAGAATTAGAATACTGTGCCAAGTAAGGCCAGTCTACTGGCTGCGTTTCATGGATATAGGGAAACAACAGCATTCAGTCATTCAGTGCTGAAGCAGTTAACTGTATTGGCACTTAGGGCTTTATAATTATGCATTGAAGATAAAAGGGATGTTGCCAAGGCTAGTAGGACTAAAATTAAACCGACCAGCTGTGTTTTAGTTTTAGCACATGTGAACGTGACGCAGGTGCATGCTATACCATCTTTCAACTCTTTCTCCACAGCCCACTATGCTCTCTATTAGAATCTTGCTCTTTTACTATTTCTGGAAGCAGAATTCTTGTTATTATAAAAAAAAGGAGATAGTAGATAAACAGATGAAAAATCACATGAGCCCCGGGAAGGGACAATAAGCTCTGACGCATAGACAGTATGGAGGGAGATGTAATGGAAAGCTGTTTCCTCTCTCTTCTGCTGAAGCTGCTTAAGAACCTAACATTGTTTGTACATGTTACCAAATTATTCATAAATGGAAAATGCATAAGCAGCTGCAGAACCAGAACTCCTTTCTTCTCTCTGCTTAAATAGCTTTGGTGTCATTAGCACTGACTTTCTTTTGTGTATTCTCACTCTCTCTTTCTCTACCTTCTCTTTCTATGGACAAGTAGATCTTCCATTCCCTTGAGTGCAGGAGGCCAGCCTCACTGGAAAGATGAAATAGATTTCCAGTCAAGGATTTAATTACAACTGTGTGGGATTAAAATAATTTGGATCTCAATATCCCTTTGTTGTTTTTTTCTGGGGACTTCTCAGCTCCTTTTATAGGCTATTGTGAAAAAGCTGTAGAGTATTAACTGCTTATGAATGAATTTAACTGTTGTTGTTTTGGGGACTGAAAGCTTAGCTACACCCTTGCCTATCTCAGGATCGTAGCAGTACTAGAGTGCATGTTTCTGTTTATCTTCCCTGAACGCATGCACAGAAGTCTCCTTATGTGCCTATAACTTAATCATCTACTGATTTCATGTTTCTCTAGGATTAAGTTAAACCTGAGTCATTCAGAATTGTCCTCTGAAATTTCAGAGACTGAAGTCAGCCCAACTTCTATCTCAGCTCAAGTCTGTCACCTTAGCATATCTGATGAGAGCAGTTACCAGTCAGTTTTCTCTAACTGCTGCTGCTGTAAAGAAAGAGGAATTGGGTCACGAAGCCTCAGGTGGGCTCCTCCACAGGAGAGCAAGTGAGCTGTTTTGGGAGGAGCTTTTAGAGAGCTCAGGGGCTGGGGCAGGACTCAGTGGAGCTACAGCTGCAGAATCCTCAGCCAGGTCCTGGGAGACCCCTGGGGAGGGCAAAAGGTGCTCTGAAGATTGCTGTCCTTCAGGAAGACACAGAGTGAAGGAGGAGTAAACATCCCCCTTCAGGGACACTGACTATGGAGAGGAGAGGTTTCTAAACCAGTTTTATTCCTCCCATCTAGTTACTTGGAGAGCCTTCTGTTTGAAAAGGTGAGTGCTCAGATTTTTATTCTAAACAAATTTTCCTTTTTAAGAGTTTAAAAAGCCTTTTGAACTCTTCCGGGGAAGTTACTTTAGTGAGAAACTCTATGTGAATCCACCCCATGGCATGGCTGAAGTAGTTTCTAACAAAAAGGGAAAGGACCGCCTACTTCATTAAAAAAAAAAAAAAAGAGAGAGAAAACTAAGTTCTTTGGTTGTTGTTTTTTTTTTTTTTTTTCCTATTAAAAGGAAAAGTAGAAAGTGCTCTGAGGCTAATGTAGCCATTATTCTAAAAGCTAAGGTTTATAAATAAAGCAAAAATCTTGATCCTCTCACCTCACTGAAGAAGTAGGACCTAGAGGAGCTGAAGTTAGAGCAAACTGTGCTCTAGAGCCTGAGCTTTTACTGCCCCTGGAAGTTCAGCAGCAGCTTCAGCTGAGCTGGGCCATGTTCCCTTCCTGGCTGACCTTCCTGGCTCTGACTGCGGGTGGAGAGGCAGCTGTGTGTCCCTGCTTGCATGTTAATGCTTTCCCTTCTGCTGGTTTTGGCCTAATCAGTGTTAAGAGCAGTTACCACTGCTCTTTTTTCCACTACTGTGTGACTAATTTTATTCTATCCCTTTTTGAGCATATGGCCCTATTTAGATTGAGTATGTCTATGTTAAAATCTGATAACTGTAGAAAAGGATGCTACTAAGCAGGCAATTTTAAAAAGTTTCTTAGTATTAATCCTCACTGAACTGTAATCTGCTGTTTGAGTCAACAGAAGTAAAATATTCCATTCTTCCCAAAGTGGTAGGGTGAGGAAACATCTCTGAAGTGTGTATTAACATATGCTTCCTTCACCTCTTACACACTAGTCATGCTGGTTGTCTTTGGAACACGGAACAGGATAACAGTAAGCTGGTGAAGGAAGCATTATGAATCCAACAGGTTGTATCCCAAACAGCCTTTACTCTCCCCTGTTGTAAGAATGACAGGCTTTTCTCTAAACTCTGAGACCACAGCTGGGGAAACTGTTCTGGTCATTAAGTGGTATAATTGACTAAGCTTGGCTTTGTTCTGAATTATCTTTCTTTTTTTGAGGAAAGTGATAGAATCCAGAGCAGCATCTCAAGTACACCACAGTCAGAGCAGATGATGGTAACAGTATCATCTTTTAAAATAACTTTGGGCAGGCTTTGAAGATGAATTTTTAGCCAGCTGCAGGTGAATAGAATTTGGTTGCTAATGAAAGCATCCACTGCTTGTGTGCACTTTGTCTCTTAATATAGATCACCTGTTTTGTGTCTGTTTCTTTGATAATATTATGGGTAGATATATATTTACCTAGATGTAAGCCTCTCACAACTGAGTCCATGTCTGTCTGTCTTGTACGTATCTGGTAGAATTTTCAGTACTATGAAACAAAGTTAGAAGTAGAAGTCTCACAGAAGTCCAAAGTTTTAAGGGTTACACTCTTACAAGGATGGCACACTGCTGGCCTGTTCTAAACCTCTACACCGTACCTTGTGCTGAGCCTTTTGTAGAGGTTTTCTGTAAGGAACTCTGCAGTTTTTAAAGTGAGTATTTATAAGACTTATGTAGAACTCAGAACTACCCTTCAGCAGGTAAGTGCATTGGTCTAAAAGTAGGGCCTGAAAAAAGAATAAAAATAGAGTATTATTTTAAAACCACAGTCTTATATGAATCTCAGGCAGCAAGATTAAAGTTTTTCACAATCTCCCCTGTATTTCCTTTCCTAATAATACCTGTAGTGATCCAATAATTTTAACAATCCCACCTGGTTTAGGTTTGCTTTCGGACAGTTGCACAATTATCAAGCAAATATCTACAGGCATTCATTAATTTTTTCCTTTTATTTTTCTTTGGCTCTAGCTTCCTTTTTATTTTTCCTCCATTTTGCACATTAACTTGACTAGTAATATAGCTGTATAGCTCACAGAGCTGGAAAATATTCTGGAACATTTTGTCATGCTGCTGGTTTTCTCATGGTTTCTTACAGCTTACCTTTGCTTCTTTGCTTTCAGCACTACACAAAAAAATAAAGTGCCCATTTTCATATGAAGAAATGTATGACAGATATCCAGGGGACCATTGCCAGTCATCAGACTTAATATATGACACTTTCAAACCATACATTCTTTTAAAAAAAACTCAACAACCTGCAAAGTATTCTGAAACTGCATGCTGTTCTCTGCCATTTCCCATTTCATTTTCTTAGATGTCTATTTTTATCACAGATTGTATTTGGGTTTTGGGATTTGTTATTTAATCAGGAATAACAGCAAGCTAAACAAGTGCATTGTAGACTGTAGAAATTAAATCAGGAAGATTTCACTTCCCAGAAACTCTTTAGCCCTTCAGTGTGATATTGATGAAAGCAGTTATTGTAGTTTGCTTTTGCGTGTGTTGCAACATGTACTGTTGTGGTTTCTATCTGGTATCAGAAAGAACTTGTTTAAGCAGCTTCAGAAAATAAAGAAAATGTAGGTGCAGAATAACTGCCTGAACTGAGAACCAGTCAATATGCTGGAAAAAAAGCACCACTATTGCATGAATTAATTTATAATTTATTATTTAATATTTGTCCTACAATAACATTCATTAAGGTCTTGGTGTTCCATTGAGCTAGCCTGTGTACAACAGTACATGAAAATATATTTACACAAAAATAACAGTAATGAAATTGAAGTTTAGGATGCTCATCATTCCACATTTCTCAGTTTATAAAAACACCGTTATGAAGGCACAAGGGACATTTTAAGGAGAAAAATCACAGAAATTTTAGAACACTGCTTTTTAGACTGCTAATTTTAACTAAATATTTGAGATTACATTATTTTTCCTCATGTACTATCTCTGTGCTGCAAGCAGAATATTAGGTTTTCTTAAGAGTATCAATACATATACTTACTGTGAATATCCTGAACATCTTGACTAAAACTTCTTCACAAATTTAGAACAAAAGAGGACTCTTTCAACAGTAATAATATAATGGAATAGTTACATAGATATTTCAAGGAGATGGGAAAAACACAGGGATAGTTGCTGCTCATTACTTCTACAATGAAATTTCTGTAACAGTTTCAGCAGATTAAACAACTGACCTTTATAGTGTGTTGTAATACTTTCAACAGATGATTCCCTTGCAGCACTGTTTATGAATAATTACAAGATTGTAATATGAAAAATTCGAAAGGCTTTAATGAAAAATGAAGTAGCAAATATACTTTTGATTGGAATAAACCCCCTTAATTCAGGAGTTTAAGTGTATGTGTATCTTTAAATTGCAGAATATATGGAAACAGGAAATTCAAGTATTTCAGAGGAACGCCCACGGGAATGCGCAGAACATCAGTCTTGCATTTTGTCCCCAGAAGTTCCTCCGTCTCCAAAGGCTAAAAGTAAATATGTGTACTCTGAATACAGAAGCCGTATTGAACTTCTCTTTAATATTAAAATTATATTGTTAGCACGGTCATACAATCATACCAAATGAAACAGAGATTAAGTAAGTTATTGATATTGAGAAGCTTTTTTCCACCCTGAATTACCTATCTTGACTACGTACGCTGTAATCCGTGTCATATAGGAAAGCGAAGAATTATATTCTCAGAAAGGACAAGTTACTGATGGATTACAATGCATTACATTATTTGATCTTAAATTTTTTTATATTTCCTGACCTTACACATTTCATAATCAAGTAAAACAAAAGGATACTAGATACGTCAAAATACTCAGCAGGCATTGCTCATGTTCAAGCTAAAGATTGAATTTACTTTATCTTTCCCAGTGAGTACCTCTTCCAATTGTGTTACTTTGTATGCCTCTTCCAAAGGTCATGTGTGTACTGCTCTTCCATTCATCTTCTAACATACCTTTCATATACCATGACTATCACTGTTGTGTGCATGTGGTTCCACCTTATGCTCTAATTCACTCTTTACACACCACAGCCACTTAAATAGTGCATTTCCTGTGTAGTGTCATCCTGCTCTTCCATTAAAATCATCCTCCTGTAGAACCAAATATGACTTCTGCCTTCCATAATCATCCAAAGTAAATGTAATTGACTGCTTGCAAATAACTAAGGCTATCTTTGTTTTTGTTGTCTGTGGGCCTCTTTGTTGGGCTTTTTTTTGGTTTTGGTGTTTCTGTTGGGGTTTTGTTTTGCTTTGTTTTGGTTTTTTTACATGTTTACAGGGAGAGGTTTCATTCATGAGAAAACTAAGCTTACTGCTGCATGCCAGACTCTGATCTTCATAGTGATAGTAAAGAAACACTGTAGTTTAACTCATGTTTCTCATTGGAGTACTTAACGGACATAAGGTATATGAAGATAAATAATTCCTTTGAGATTAGTAGACTCATGTAGTCAACTACCCTATGCAATAGAAATGTTTGTCCTGAAATTAAGTAGTAAATATTTTTGAAATGCGGTTTACTTCTTAACAATAACGTCATGATCTCACCTTCCTTGTTTCCACTTTCATGGTGTAAATACTGTAAAACACACTGGCTGGCTTTTGCTTGTCTGTTGTGTAATTTGATTCTAAAGGAAATAAATTGTACTTGATTGTGCTTCCCATCCATCTGTCTGCCATCCTCTGACAATCTAATTTCAAATAATTTAAACCAAATTTGGAAGAGGGATAGCCGTATCAAGTACCTGTGATTTTCATGAAAATAGATAGATAGAGGAGAGAGACCTTAATTAGTACCTGCACTGAAAGAAATAGGTAAAACTTGCCTTTTATGTATTCATTCTGTCAGCAATCAGTCAGACAGTGTACACTTACTCACAGCTCAGTTGGCACCCTTGCAGTTCCAGTTTTGTCACACAGAATTAATTCTTGTCCAGTAAGAAATATTGCAGGCCATATGTGGGAGAACATGGTATTGGGGACATAACCATAATTTTGTAGGAAAGGGTATTTCTCTTTCTTTTCAGGGCACAGTATCATGATTTTAGAATAGATCTTAATATTTATGTATTTTACTTCCAATTTTTATTTATTGTAATAGTAATCTGGAATAATTTCAATTTTCTAATTAAAAATCGGAATATAAATAACACCAATTATATCTTTGTTTAATTTACAAGTTTTGTGCAAAGTTACCATTGACTAAGAGTAACAAGAGTTTTGAATGCAAAATTTCTGTTACCTAGATATTAAAAGGCAATCAGATGCTTCTAATTTAACAACTGTTCTTAGCTATGAAAATTTTAGTCATAACTGCCATAGTTGTAATTTAAAAAATATTTTGGAATGTTTATGTTTACCTAGCATAACAAATGGTGACTATGAACAAAAATGACACAGAAAGAGCTCTAAACTGTTTTTCCTTTTCAACATTTTATTCCCAAAGATAAAGTAAAATGGAATTCTATCTTTATTTTACCAAGTCTAAGGACTATAGTTTCCAACAATATGACTCTTGTAAACCTAGTTAAGAGAAGAGGTTTCTTATTTGCCCCTGGAAAAACTTGTCTTTCATATTTTCATTGCTGTTACTGAAGATAGCTGTGTAATACATATGCAATAGATTATCAGAACCTGATGCAATTGTTCATAACATGTAGCTTTTTACTCTGTGGAAGTCTTGCAGATGTTAGTGGACTATTTGTAGAAAACTCATCACTCAGTGTGATTCTAATACTTATTAGTACCAGTATTTCTAATAATAGCACTCAGTGTAAACATATAAACCCCATTATCTTACCATTCTGGTAGCTTTCTTAACTAAAGAGATCTGATAAACAGAAAACATGAAATACAATGCAGAATGCACTAAACATGGGTTTCTGATAGACTTACACAGGGAAGTATGTTTTAAACTTGTGGGTTTTGCCCAGTATATCCTTCCACCATTCCCTTTAATTCTGGGTGAGAAAGAATTGTTTATAAAGCATGTCCCATACTTTGATGGAACAGATGTGCATTCTCAGAACTGTAGTTCCAGACTACTTACAAATTATGAAACCTGTGTAGTGTACTAATTGATCACAGCAACAAACATGAACTAGATGCAGAGTATGGGATACTTTTTGAATGTTTGTAGAAACTTTCCTTTCTTGGATTAATTTTACATTGTTGTATAGTTGCTATTTCTAGCCAATTTTCAGGATTAGAAAACAGAGAAAGGGTAAGTAGATATTGTAATTCATCCTAATGAAATGCAAGGTATAGAGGAATGCAGAAGTATGTAGATTACCTCCAGTGATTCCCATTCTCGAATGAGATGACATTATTTTTCAGGGGAGAATTGTGCATGAAGATCACTGTTTAGATGATAAAGCATAGGATATAACAGATACTCAATAAAATTTAAAGAATATGCATTTCCTTTTTAGGCATAAATTACCCTGGTATTCTAATTATTTACTAATGGTGTGTCTGTTTTTAAAGGTGAAGCTGTGACTGGAGAATTGTCAAAGCTCTTAGATGAAATCAAATTGTGCCAAGAAAAGGAATATTCTTTTGAAGATCTGTCTCATACAATATCAGACCATTATCTGGACAATTTTAGTAAAGTATCAGAGGAAGAACTTATGACCAGTGGAAGCCAAACCAAGCTTAATGTAGTAAGTAAGATGGGATACAAAGAAAATATATTCAGTATATTTGCTTTATTTATGGCACATTGAAGAAAGAAATAGTACAAGAGTGAGAATAGAATATTTTATAATAGAAAAAAATAATACAGCATGTACTCATCACAAATTTAGAATTTAATGTTCCCCTTTGACAAAGATGCTGCTTACCACACATCAGAATGGCTTTTTATGACACCACTAATATGACCAAAAGTTCAGGTTAGTTGTTCTTTTGAACATGGAGAGTGCAAGGAAGGATTTTTTTAAGCAATCAGTTGAAATCAGTATGCTCAGTACTATACCGAAGACTAAACACTTACAGAATCTGATCAGAAGTGCCCCTCAAAAGAAGCAGCTAAGCATCTTCAGTTATGATTCTTATAGATTTTATTTCTATATAGCTTTCCCAGTAACCTAATGCTATTAAAGACTGAGTCTCTAATACTGAAACTTATTGTGGTTCTGATACTTCAGTGATTTCCAACTACAGTTGAAAAAATTACTTCATTGCTACTAATCCTGTGAATAAAGTGCTCTAGGATTCATTTTTAATTTACAGTGTAACAAGGCTTTTTTTTTTTTTTTTTTTTTCTTGAATTCTCTTTCTCAATAAGTAAACTAAATGGGATTGCCCAGGGAATAAAGCACAGAACAGAGGCAAAATGCTAAATTTCAATTAATGTTGTTCATAAGTTAAGAAAAATTATGTTCTCATATATGGGGAAAAATCATGGCAAGTTAAGAACTTTTGTTCTAGAGGATTTATTACAATATATGTAGACAGAATTAGATTTACAAAGATGGTTCGGTGCCCTGAAATGCAGTAGATACTTTTGTAAAGGCCTTATAGGTGTCTGAATGATTAGGTACATAACCCATATTGAAGTCAGTCTGAACAAGGTACTGATCCCATTTAGACATTTTTATACATCTTTCTAGTGTCTCTCTGTATTTAGGTGCTAACTGCTATTTAAATCTGTTCAGCTGCTGTTTTGCAGAAAATGTAATCCATATAAGTCTGTCTACTGAGACTGAAATTTGTATAGCCCTAAATGAAATACAGTGTGAATAGGAGGTATTCAGACACTAAGTCTGTAATTTACATGCATCAGGCAAATACAAAGGTAAACTAGGCAATATATTTTTTGAGATTTCATCTATTTGTATATTGAATTAGATGTGAAAACAAATCTTCAAAAATGGGAACTTTTTAAAGCATGTTGTGGTGTTCTCCTATTAGTGCACTCAGTTTTTCTTTCAAAGAAAAGTAGAATCAGGATGATGGGTACATACTTCCAACATGAGGTCAGGATGGAGGACAGAGCATGTTTTCCCCTAGAGTAATCCCAACTATACAAGCCTATATTGAAACAACTCTTTGCTGTGATGTGGGATTTTCCTGTTTGTTCTAAAACATCAATTTAATTTTTTAAAGTATTTTAAGGTCACTCACTCTGTTCACTTGCTACCTGGCTGCCTTGCATCAAAAAAAAAAAAAAAAAAAAAGAGGTTGCTCCCTGTTTTGACACACTATCTTTTAGTTTTGGGGAAGTGCTGCCTTCCCTTGGTGTGTAGACTCCCTGTATAGTGCTCGAGTGATATGAAAACCCACACACACTGTAAAGAGTCATCAAAGAGTAATCAGAGAGAAGCACTAAAATGAAGAGATACGTTTAGCTCTGAAAATGGGTGCAAGGGTGAATGCTGCCAAACTACTCTGGGGGCAGGACCAGCAAGCATAGTGGTGGAAGTGTGACAGTAGGGTGATGACTGAAGAAACTTAAATGAATATTTATGTGTAAGAACATGGAGATACATAGAGAAAGAGAGAAGTGGAAACATATATAGATCTGGAGAGTCAGAAATAGATTCCTTGGATGTGTATTAAAGAAGATAAAGATTCTTATGGTTTCTTCTGACTTTGGTTTTCTCCTCCCTGGGAAGCTTCCATAAAAATCTCAGTAGGGTAAGTCGGGTCTTCTCTGTTGTCTGTATTTATTCAGCTCACAGTCATTGCTGCTGCATGTGCAAGACCGTACGGAAAGAGGGGCAGCACAGGAGTGTGGTAACACCAGAGCACAGACTCTTTCTCCCTATGGGACTGAATGTTTTCTTTCTGTTACCAGCTTCAGCACAGGGCTAAGAACTGGTGTACCTCTACAAGCGAGCAGTTACTGCAGGTTCAAATGAGCAGCTTTTCCCCCCGACTTTCATTGCTGACTGTGCCAGCATCCGCTCTGAAGAGGTGTAGAAGTCAGGTCCTTGTTGGTAACGTGTCAGATGATGCTGATGCAGGCTTTTCAACTTCTCCTGTAGTCCAGTGATCTGAACAGGTTCCAAAACCCAAGTCATAATACTTCATGACTCTTAGGGAGATTCTGCAAAGGAACTGGCTGCTGGGAGATATCTGTATTTTTTGCATCATGCTATTGTTCAGAGAAATAGGAGGCCAAGACTGGGGAATTTCTGTTTGGAATAGCAACTTGTGGTTCAAAAATTTAGTAAATTGGAGCAAGGAGCACCAGAAGCAACCTCCTAAGGATAGCATGGGCATGTGAAGAAGAAAGCATCAGGAAGAAAAGTGTATTTCAAAGCATTTTTTTAACAACTGGCTCTTTTGAAGAGGGCCAAATCACCTGTGGTACTGCTCTGGCTAAATAAAGTTTAGATTGATTCAGGACTGCAGAAAGGAGTGTTTGCCTATATAGGATCTATACCTGGAATTATCTCCTGAATCAAAGTGCCGACCTCTTTTATTTGAAAACAGAGAAACTGTTTGTGTTTAGTGTAAGAACAGTGATGATACCTGCTTTTCAATGCAGTAGCTTGACAGTAAAAAGCTTCATCTGGAAAGTGGTAGAGTGGCATTCAGTTCTCCCTATGGCATAAGGGTGGGTTTTAACATCAATTTTATAGTCTCCCAAATAAAAGGACCGAGCATCAGTCTGTTGATTCCCCTCCAGTATTCTTTTTGGATTTTACAACCACTGGAAGAATAGCAGTGCAATCCTGAGAGCAGGACTTGGGACTCCCTATTGACTAGCAAATTCTATTACTTTTCTGGCCTCAAATGTCTTGCATTGTTTCTTGCTCAGTGATACAACATCCATAGAATACTCCATTTTCTTTTGAAGAAGTTGTGGGTTGAAAATCTGTTAAGTCAAGACTAGAATTGAATCCATTCTTCCATTTGCTGATTTATTGAACAATTAGTCATACAACCATATAGAAAGTTGTTCTGATATGTTTGGACTAAGGGACTTCCTTCTTTTCATCAAACTTTTGCATTGAAAACACTACACATTTTATTACTTAATATGTTTCTGTTGACCAGGTATGTGATGTGTGACATAAGGCATTAAAAAAACCCAACAGGTTTATGTGCTTACAGAATTTTAAAATCAAACAGGAAGCAGAGTTTGCACAACTCTGAGGTGAGGTGAAACTGAAAAAAAAAGCTTTCTGAATGAAAATGTTGGGTTTGGTCACCTTAATTCCAAATTACTAGTCAGCTCTGTGTTGACTCTTAAGTTTCCTCAGAACATGGAAATCTAAATAGAAAAATTGAAGGGCAGGATCTTGAGGACTGGAAGGCATGATCATTTGGGAGGAGGAGGGTACAGTGGCGAAGAAAGTAAAAGTAAGGAGAATAACAATAGACACCATAGTGTAGATGTGAATAGGAAGAGATCTGGAGATGAGTAAAAACATGCCCACAGGACACTTCCATTCCAAAAGCTGAAAGGGAAACTGGGAAAATTTTGGGGTTCTGGAAAAGTAGACCGTTAGCTTCCTGAATGAGAAGAACAATTAATGAAGAGGGTGAAAACTGCGAATGCTTGTCTGCTGAATAGCATAAGTCAGATGAGAATAAATTAATGTGATAATTTATTTGAAGTGTACATTATAAATAATAAACTAAAGAAAGTCAAGTTAAAGCTACACTGGTAACTATACACTCAGGGCTTGATTTTGCAACTCCAGCTGTGTTACAATGTACTTCTGATGGGCTGTCATGTAAAATATAAATTTCATGTTTCCTAGCCTATCTTCACCAGTAATTAAAATGTGTATTATGAGATAAAGGACAACAACACCCTGTTCATTGTCTCCACAAAATTAAAGGCCAGATTGGACATAATTTTGCAACTGTGGGTTATTGTGCTACTTTACAGAGAGCTCAAAAAAAGCATTTATATACCTAGACATGATTTTAGTTGGAATTGTCTGTTTTTCTCAAAGGCTTGTACACTGGGTGGGTTTGATGGTGGATTCATAGATTTTTTTATTGCTAGTTCCTGTCTGCCTTTATTTTTTCCCCATTTTGGTCATTGTGGCTTGAATACCCTCTTTAGTTCCCCTCTGTATGCAGAGACATGGCAAGCCTGGATGACTGCGGTACAGGTGGGCTGGGAAAGCCTTATACTTGTGTATTGTTCAGTGCTGACAGATTACAGTTTTTCTACATTTACTAAGTGCAAAACTTTCACTCCAAATAACTAGGATTTGATTGTTCAGCAAGTCAGAAAAGGAGCTGTGCTTCAAAATGTGTTCCAGAAAACATGAGGTAGAAAAAGATGTAGGAAAAATCCTTGGTTGTATCACAGTTTAGTTAGCTTAGGTGTTTTCTTTTAAAAACTTAAGCTGTCTTAAGTATGATTGCTAGCAAAATCAACTTTTGACAATAACTTATAGTAGTTTCAGTTTGTTTTTCTTTCTTTTTTTTTTTTTTTTTAAAAAAAGTATAATTTAAAAAATATTTATTTTCCAATAGATGGCAGTCTGGCTCAGTAATTTCAAGAACAAAAGCAGCCATCTTATATAAGAGTTTTCCAACTTTTTTCAATGCTACATTAAAAATGCATGATTTTAGCACATTTGATAGCAGAAAATACTTAAAAACAAACACCTATAATTCTTACAAGAGGAAAATTTGTTGAACATCATGCCATAGATTTAAACTACAACCTAAAATATCAAGACTAAAT